GATCTACTTGTCCGATATTGTAAATAACACGTCCCGGACGGTGGGACGTGTACTTTTTCGCACACTGCGTAATTATGGAAATAGATATCTTGTTTGCATATCGTAAATGTATGATCTTTCATTACTCGTGGGAAGAAGTTATNAAGACATACAAAACTAAAAACGTGACATAACATAAGAATCGTTACAATTTTGGACCGATCTGTTGCTCTTGACTTAGCTAGCTTCATATTTAAATAACAGATACAAGACCTTTTTTAACTCTCGGTACTGGTAAGCAAAACACAAATAAGCATATAACCCAAAGTAGTCAAACTATTTAATTTGATCCCAAATAATGAAATAATTCATAATGTGAAGTTTTACATTCGGTACCACTTTACAATAAGACTACCCTTATAAAGGATGATGAAGGGTTTATAATTAGGTTATTAATTAGGTTGTAAACACTTTATTAATCATTAAGAACCATTAATAAACCAGTTCTAACATCGTTTTCATATATCAACACAGGCTCACTATTTGGCAAGATGACTAAGCCTTATATTGGCTACTTAGCGAGAATCAACTCAGTGAACAACAGATACCAAGGATGCTGGCTGATGAAGAACACGAAGTAAGCTAGTAGCCAATATAAGGCAAGGCAAGGCAAGGCAAGTTTATTTATATAGCACTTTTCAACACAAGGCAAAGTGCTTTACAAAAAATGAAAGACATTAAGAAAATGGCATTTAAAATCAGTCATTAAAAAGAAAAGGCTTAGCAGTACAGATACATGTGGGCTCACTATTTGGCAAGCAGCCCTGTTTATCTCATGTCTTATAAAAGCTTATTAATGATTTATAAAGTGTTCACAACCTAATTAATAAATGAATTACAAACTATTCGTAAACCCTGTATAAGGGTAGTCTTATTGTAAAGTGGTACCCAACATTCATTACTGTTGTTGTGTCTACGCCTTCACTTGCAGATTCTGTGCATATCTACATCAGCCGATGAAACTAACTCTTAAGCACATTTGTACAAACCGAATGAGAACAATCTTGAGGCTGACACCCTCATCGAGAGCTTCACTTAGCCTCCGACTCTTCAAGTAAAGTGAGAATACCATCTCTAAACTCCCCAGTGCTATGGAAACAACTGTGGGCAGACAGCGACTGCCTGAGGTGTGAGGAAAGCAACGTTGAAAAGTGTGATTATTCAACTCTATATCTCAGTACATGAGTGTATGTGGGGTTGTAGTGACATCAACACAATCAGTGCTTGTACTGCATTCATGTACACAATGTATTTACTCAAATAATTAACATCTAGTTCAGGTATACTCCCGCAAATAAATGTTAGAGGTTTTTATGTCATATTTTACTTGATTTAAAATCAGCTTCATGTTGAAATATCTTTATGTAACGGTGTCCCGGTTAGCTGATTGAAGAACTGAAATGAGATTAAAATCAAAGAGGAACGCCTGAGTAAACACATGACAGAAGAACTGCCAATGAGTTCCATTTAAAAGTATTGTTTTCGAAACCACCCCCTTCAAAGAGGCGTACAATAGTCAAGTCCACCCCCACCCGGCGACATACAATGGCAGTGCTCGGGGCTAAAGCTTAACACGAAAAAAAAATCAGCAGGTCTACTCGGGCTTTCATTCAAATCTAACACTTCCGTAGTAAGCTTTTACAGGGAGGCATGTCACAGGAAACACATTTGAAGTGAATCACTTCTGATGTGACTGATGATGATGAGGAACTGAAAGAAATGTGTCATTGTATCAATGAGGTTTCAGGGGAACTACGGGCAACTTTCAAAGCAAAATTAGTGCAACTTCTCTGCTAGCACTGAAGTCTGAGTGATAGGTTTTTTTCTTGACAGAAACGCACCTTAAGTAGGAGTGACAATCTTCTAAATTAGCTTCTCTCCACTGGCTGCCAATTTATTATAAGATCCATTTAAAAATTATTTTATTTACTTTTAAATCCCTAAATGGCATGACCCCACCATACCTGGCTGAACTGCTACAGCATTACACGCCGAACCGCCCTCTCAGGTCAGCGGACCAACTGCCCCTGAATGTGCCTAAAACCAGGTCAAAGATCAGAGGGGACCGTTGCTTCTCTGTAGCGCTTCCCAAACTGTGGAACACTCTGCCCCTGGAGATCAGACAGGCCTCCACACTGCCTGCTTTTAAATCGCGTCTTAAAACCCACCTCTTCTCCTTAGCGTTTTAACACTTGGCGTTTCAACATCTTTGGAGTGTTGCTTTTTTGCATTTAAATTGTTTTTTGTTTTTACTTGTACTTGTTTTATGGTGTGTGAGCTGAGCTGTGTTACTTTTTTGTATGCTTTGTTTTATTTATTTGCCTGTACAGCACTTTGGTCTGGAGGTTTAAAGTGCTTTATAAATAAAGTTGTATTGTATTGTATTGTAAATGGTGTCCTTTAACTGGGCTACAGGTGAGCCTGACAGCCAGTGACACCAGCCAATGTGTGTGCAGTGCATCTGCTGCTTAGTGCAGTGACAGCTGCACAAAAAGCCTCTGACATGTGCAGCATGATTCACTGGCGCGCCGCTGACGCAACATCAGGAGTTCTTTTCAAACGGCTCTCTGCCTTTCCATATTTCCTCTCCTGAGACACGAAAAACCGTTTGTAGATTTCACTTTGGAATGTCCACATCCACAATGGAAGCCATGAATTGAAAAGTATAAGCAAACAAGATCATACTTGACACAGCAGAGGCGCTGCCCTCGACTGTTCAAATAAGGAGATTTCAATACAATAGCATGTTCTGAAAATGCAGGAAATTCCTGTTAGTGATGCTTCACATTTCCAAAAGATGTACTGGAAAGTGAGCAGTTTCCGGAGAGATGTATAGGCTGTGGTATTTGTGTGTCTATCTCAGTGTACCTGTCCCTGTCCTTCAGGCTGGACACGTCACATGCACGATACTGCTTTAACCGAGCAACAGGTCAAACTTCAATTCACCAGCTAACAGAACAAACACCATTAGCAAACAGAGCAAATACTGAGATAGAGAGCAGGCATTCCTGTAACAAGAATTCATTGACTCAGTTTCTCCTGGACATTGCTAGAGTAACATATTAGGAGAAATATGCAATACCTTCAAAATGTGACATTTTCAGAAAATTGGAGAGTGATAACTGTGCTGCTACTGCTTAGCACTTTCCGGAATAGAGAAATAACCTGCACTTGGAATTAGTCTTTGACCTGTGTATCTTTATAGATCAACCTGACACTTATACTGTCACTCTTCTTGCTTTCCACGAGACAACAACCCATACACCCACCGATTTACATGATAACTATTTTCCTATTTCAAGCGTTTCCTGACTTCACAGTGATGTCACTACCCACAATTCACACCTGCCTCTTTAGACGTGTGTTAAGAGATAGGAAGTATTAAACGGTATTTTGATTCTTCTTACAGTTGAGGAACATGTACAACTCTCAGTTGCAATATACATTAAGTGGTCTGTCCCTTATGGCGAATTAGAAAGAAACCAAGACGGCCTTTTAGGCTGTCACCCTAAACCTCAGTGAAACACAAGAATAAAGCACGACACCGCTCTCGTTACATTCTCTGTGACCCAATTTCACTCTTTCTAAGGACAAATTCTTACAACAATGTAAGATATATTTATCATAATGTTATAGAGCATGGTTTGTGAGAATTGTGTAGTTTCCTGCTTTTATTAGCACCTTAAAATATGCATTTTGTACCATTACCAAGTACATACTAAGTGTCCTCACGTACCCTACTGAAAAGTTCAAGCTTCTTGACTTTTACCCTTTCCATGGTTCAGGAGTTCGGCCAACTCCACATTACTCTCCTCTGTTAGAAAATATCAAAAGCCATGAGAGGAGTCAGCTCCCCGCTGGACAAAGGGATACTTTAAGCACGCTTTACCCGACAATCACAACTCGGAAACTAGAGATCACATCATTTATTCACAGCCAGTGAGTCACAGATGCAAGTGCAGAAAGCTAACGGGCCTAGGCTCCCTTCACTTTGTCCTTTGAACAATTCTAACGCCCTGAACTCTCACTTCCTCCTTTATGAGTTACACTTTTTCAGAAGTTAAATATGACTTTTGCTTCTAACGGCTGCAGCTGCTTATAGAAAAAGGCATCACATTTTCGTACTGATCTGGATATATTTTTTTATTATTTCAACAGCATAGCAAAAGAGAAAGGGAACACAATCAAAACAGCGCAGTATCTTTTGGAATTTTAACAGATAGATGCAGGAACTTAAGTGTACAGGCAGAGGATGATGGGTAAAAAGAAAAGAAGGTTCAAGACACTAAGCACCTACATTGGAGGTGGAGGGGGGTTGGGAATATCGTTAACATTTGCTGGGGTCCAAAAGTCAGTTGTCTGAAATGTGAACAGCCAGCTAACTGGTTACCAACCCCCCCGTCCCAAAGTGCAAACTCAACATTTGAGAATACCTTCTGCCGCTGTCTTGATTTTGGGGCACCTGTAACCCGGGTCGCTCCTGAAGGCAGCTGAAACTACAAATACTCGACAGTAATGGAAGCTCTGGGTGAAACACAAGAGGCAGAAATGAGACTGGTGGTAACGAATTCAGACCTTGAAACAACAAAAATATATATCCATATCACAGTGTGAGTGTGTGTGAATATCCAGCGTCCACATAGTGTCTTTCAAACAGGCCGCCACAGTAGACATGATGGATGTGATCACTGCACAGGAAATAAGAACAAACACATCTCCTCAAGCATCCCAGTACAATCAATTATGAAAACTGTTTTTTTTTTCTTGAGGTCCAAACATATCCAGAATACACATTCTTACAAATTACAGAGGCAGTTTGGGCCATGAAAGTGATATGCTGATGTAGGCAATGGTTTCTGGACTTTTCCCATCCTTTGGATATGTAGCTGGGTCATGAGAATACTGTATGAGAGTCAAGCATAGGCAAAAGTGTCCCAAAGAGTCCCCTAAAAAGACATTATACAAAGAGAGGAGAACGAAAGAAGAGCTCAAAAGAAAGCGTCTTGTATATTTAAACAGTACTGATTATAAAGAAAAATAAAGCCAGAAAAATAAATTGTCTTTTGTTTAAATGAAATCTGGGGTTATATTGAAGTCAATATCAAAAAAAGGAAAATAAAACAAAAATATAATTGCTTCTCTCTTTGATATACACTCAGCAGAGAGGTCATGGTATTAATTGCTTCAGATTGCATTTTTTTTTTCATTCTCGGCTACTTTATTAGCCTCAAAGTGTCCAGGCTGGTGAATGGAGAAACATTAAGATTTGTAATTTGAGGTAAGCCAGGTCAGGCCCTCGTATAGTCCATCCCCTGTTGTCGCACACGAGGGCTGAACGTACCAATTCCTATCTCTGATCCGGGTCAGGCCCAGCTTCTCCTGGATCTCGTGGGGTTTCATGGCGTCTGGAAGGTCCTGTTTGTTGGCGAAGATCAGGATGATGGCGTCCCTCATCTCCCGGTCGTTGATGATTCGGTGGAGCTCCTGCTTCGCCTCATCGATCCTATCCCTGTCGGCGCAGTCCACCACGAAAATGAGGCCCTGGGTGCCTGTGTAGTAATGTCTCCACAGTGGTCTGATCTTGTCCTGCCCCCCCACATCCCACACGTTGAACTTCACATTCTTATACGTGACCGTCTCCACGTTGAATCCAACGGTGGGGATGGTGGTGACCGACTGTCCCAGCTTCAGCTTGTACAGGATGGTAGTTTTACCAGCAGCATCAAGTCCAAGCATCAATATTCTCATCTCCTTGTTGCCAAAGATCTTTGACAGCACTTTGCCCATCTTGTTTGCCGTGCATAAATACTTTGATGGAGGGAAAAAACTTCTCTTATGAGGGACAAAGTCAAAGTTGTTTTCAATACAACTGAGAAGTTACAGTATCAGTGTGTCTGAAAGTCCACGTGATGGCAGCGGTGGGCTGACAGTGTCAATATTCAAAAGGCGGTGACTCTCAAGTTTGTGCAGTTTGATAACCGACTACAATTAGCTGGATGATCTGACCTGAGAGGGTGACTTCAAGGGGAGCAGTATGTGGGTAGCCCTCGCAGAATTGGGTGGGGATATATTTTCATGATCCACTGCCCTCCGATGTAAGGAGAAAAAATGACATCCCGTTGTTTCAAACTAGACTTCCTTCAAAATCAACATTTCAAGTGTTTCTTCTCGGTCAAAAATCTTCTTTCTCTCATTTGATTTGAAAAACAGAGTGGCTTTTTTTTGTTGCCTAGCTTACTATATAAATCAGGCCCTGTCCAAGCCCGGGGTTCCCACTTCCTCCTTGGCTGCCGGCTGTCCAAACTTGCCCTTAGCCGATTCCAGTCGATTGATTTCCAAGCACAGTGTTTTTCGTATCAAAACACGCCCAAAAATGAGCTTCACGTTCCGTTTCTGCACCGGGACATCCACAGGAAGAGCGTTCAAAAGGTCATTGATTCATCCGACTTTCTTCTCTTCCCCCTGTGTGACACAAGAGCGGTCCAGAGAAGGGAGGGGTGTTAGTACAGAGGACAACTTTGAATCCGAAAAATAATTATATCTGCGGATAGAAAAGCGAAACAAAAGAGTAGAAAATAGAGAACGGGATTTATACCTACGTCTGCGGCAATCATCCCCCAGTCCCCGGGCCGTTTCTCCCCAATCTTGCCGCTCTCTGTCTCTCTTCCTCCCTCTCTCTCTCCAGCCTTTCAGTCACAGCGGTGCTGTGTTACCGGAAAAGGTGCGGACCCAGATCAGCCGCCACTTCCTCTACGCTGCTCTCACACACTGCTGCTGCGTTCAGGGGCTGCGCAATAGCTCAGACATTTCATAACAGAAAAAAACATTCTACCACAAGGGCGTTGCATGAAAGCCTGGAGTGTGTTAATATATTTTGTAGGTAGTGTTACTCAACTATCTCTATTATAATGCTAGTGTGATTATATCAGATTATAATTAAATGAATGTTATAATAATGTTAACATTCGCAACTAATATCAGTTATAAGAAGTATAGCTATTGTGTTGTTGGCTCTTTATTCTCTTATACCCATACTTTTTACACCACAGTCCATACTATACTGTATAGACTAGAGTATTCATTTTTTTCTACCACTGTCTACTACTGTAGGCTGGTACATTGGATATAAATTACATCCTATTCATATCATACCTCTAGCTGTTTATTCTGAAAGGAGTTCTACTATTACCATTTCTTGTACTTACAACTGTACTATACATAAGTATATCTATTCAGCCTACAGTAACTGCTTGACATATTTTACTGTTCATACTGTATCATAATGTATTCATTTACTCACATGTCAAACTGTTATATATCTCACTTTCCTGTATTTAAATGTTTTCCATACATTACTGTTCATAATACTCATATTATACATCTGGTTAAATGTCATTGTTTCAATACATGTAGGCCTACTCTTTGCAGCGGTTCAAAGCAACTGACGACGGTTGCAAGCGGTTGCAAAGCAACTTCAAAAAAGAGGGTGTGACCCACAGTCCTGATGAAGTAGAATATTTGAGTTTTTGAGTAATTTATGATGTTGCCTCTTAATCATGAATATTAACTGTTGTGGATAGCATTGATTTAATACTACGTTTCCAAGGGCTTTAATGTTAAGTTGAAGCAGTGTTGCAATGGTCTTTAGTTGAAAAATATCTATGTCTGCCCCTGATCACACATCACACAGCATCGGTACTGTCTAGCTTGACACTTGGCATGACACTACATGTCATCTGGCTTATAGTTAGTATTAATTAATAATAAGTAAACGGCTAAGTTTTACTTAACTTTATTTATTCAGCATAAAAGTGCAACGTCTGCTTGAAAAACTCTGTGGGCAAGGGAAACAAGCACTACTCACTTTTATTTGGGATTTCCGACCGAACCTGAAGGGGCCATACGCCATTTCGCATGCGCGCTTCAAGCAACTGAACTGCAGACTGGTCCATTATTAGCCCAGTGTTGACGCCATTTGAGCTTTCATTGTGTATTAAATCACCTTTAATATGACGTCTGCTACAATATTTACTCATAGGACTCTACATATAAAGCAGATCTAAAGATTTAGTAGGCACAATGATCTGGAGAGGGGATTTACAGCCGGGTTTCCCCCGACATGTCTGATAATTCATTCAAAAGCGTCCCTGCACGATTAAACTGTGACGTGGAGGTTGTGTAGTGCTGGCGGAACTTCAGTTTCACACGTTGTCGAAAGCAGCCTATTTCTTGCATTTAACAAAACATTAAAATGAATAAACACTATTATCATAAAACGTACACTGCTAGGGCTAATATATTAACAGTGCAATTACTAAAACTATGAAAAGGCCTACTGATATTAGTCAAGTGATATCTAAAGAGAACTGTACTTCTAAATAATGGAAAGGCAACACTTGTTAAGTATTGAAAAATGCTGAATTCTACCTACAGTCTACAACCCTCACAACTGTATAACATGTTGCTGTATTATAGGCGTAATTGTTCTACCTATATGATATGGTTAACCACGTGTGCCCCTTTCTATTTCTGTTTCTTTAATCTCATGACCTTGCACGTACACTTTATCAAAAATGTTGCATGAATGTTTTTTCACAAGGATGTATCAAACCCTCAACCTAACACACATAGGGGCGGTGTTAGACCTAACTGAGCATGCGCACGGGCACACAGCCTTTCTAGGTTCTTCCTCCAAGTCAAGTATGGTGGGCAAAGCGCGCCGGGCCGTAGTGGGTTAGACATAAATAAAGTGACTTCGAAGACCGCTCACAAGTCCTTAAGGTTGGCCAACATTTCATGGAAGATACTGGTAAGACTCCTTAAACGCATCTTTGTTTATAAAATTGGTTAAATGTGACTAAAATCGTGGAAACTTAACAGCCAGCTTATACTAGCCATTAGTGGTAACGGTAGCTAGGGAAATTGCCGACGTTAGCTCACTAGCGAACGTGGAGAAGCCGTTGGTGCCGACTACTAACTGGAAATGGATGCAAATACGTAGCACGTTGTAGTTCAAGTAAGCATTCGGTAATGAAATTGTATGGTTATCCATCCCTGCTGGGTACAATTTATATCAACATTTATGGCCATGGTAAGCTAGACATTGTAGTAAACTGACTAAATGTTAGTGTTAGGCTAACAATAACCTCTAGTAACTTCAGTACCGCGGTTCATTCCAGGATATAGATGGGACCTAAAGTAAGGCCCAACTTATGATTGAACTTTGACTATACAAACACTCGCGGCTGCAACAGGGCCTCAAACAGCAAACAAGGCTAAAGCTAACATACCGATTTCGAAAACACGCACGGTAGTTAGCCTTTTAAATTCAGGAGCTTATCGTATGGTTATTTAACTAAGAAGCCGATCACGTGGCTACAGTATTTTTAGTAGGTGTATGTAAGGGTCTTATCTTAAGCTTCCGTCTGTTTTAATGTTAGAACAAGGAAGGATCCTGTAGCACCAGCAGCTGCTGCTGACGGGGTATCTACCTAACGTAGATACCATTTCTTAAATCTGCCCTAATTCGGAATTAATTAGTCGTTAAGTCAAAATCTATGTTATTAAGTATCGAAGAACAACAACAAAATATATACAATGAGGAAATCCTCAAGTTAGGAAGCCCAAACTGGTATTTTTCCTTTTTAAATTACAGAAACAAGTTTACCTCATGATTGTAGACGATTTGTTAGCGACCAGCAACTTAATGTAGCTTCTCAAGTGATGATCCATCCTGCTTCTCTACAGGCCTGCACCTCTCAGACAACACTTTTATTGGAATGCTGGACACTGAGTCCCCTGTCATGGAGAGCAATGGGGATGCATTTCTTCCTGACCTTCCGGTTCTAGGTCAAACTGCAGACTGGTCCCCAGACCAGGTTACTCCTGACCCACTCGCCAACATCTTACCTGAAGACTCAGATGAATCCCAGGATGCTCCCGTGCAGCACCAGCAACCAAATGAGCAGATGGATTCCACAGAGCTGGGATCTGTGGAGAAAGCTGTGGAGCAGTTTCAGATTGCCAGTGCTCAGCTTTTCCAAGATGAGCAACCACCACCACCGCCTCCACCTCCACCTCCACCCCAGCCAGAAGAAGAGTCGGAGCAGCCATCATTCCACAAAGCAGACTCTGGAGAGTCTGATCAAGACAGCCAGGAGATGACCGTTATGCCAGAAGCTTCTACTCAGGATAGCAGTCAAGGTAATCAAAATATCTGGTGTTAAGTTATAGCAATTCATCTGATTCGATTTATATATACCTTGTTTATGTACTGCACATGCACAAAAGGAGGCACGTTTCTGTTGGCTGGTTAATATGCATGTAAAGCTTCATTTAAAACCCTCAATACCTTCTAAATAAAATTCCTCCAGTTGCCTTTTTTTAGTATTAAGAATTTGTTTTTTTAATTATTATTCCTCTGCCTCAATGCCCCTTCATAATTCCTTGTTAACTTCTCCAGAGGCGAGCGTGGCACCACAGGTGACAGAGGAGGGCATGGAGCTTGAAGAACCCAAAGAAGCCACACAAGAACCGGCTGTTCATGCTGAGCCTGAGCCAGAACCGCCTAGTGAGTTTGAAAAACTCTTTAAAGCATGTGAGGAGAGCCCAGAGGACTTCAATGGTTGGGTCTACCTGCTGCAGTATGTGGAGCAAGAGGTAAGTGAAGACATGCTAATATTTCTCTTAGTACATTACAAAAATTGACCAGAAGCATTATTGTACTACCTGGGAAATACTAATACAATTACTTTTATTGCTCATCTCCCTTGCAGAATGCTCTTCCAGCTGTGAGACAGTCATTTGACATATTCTTCCTACGCTATCCCTACTGTTATGGCTACTGGAAGAAGTATGCTGATATTGAAAAGAAGCATGAGAATATACAGGTTGCAGAAGAGGTAACTATTGATATATTTGGCACTTTTACTTATTTGCTTTCTTTTCTATCGTTTTACTGTATGTGCTGCTATGTGTAATAAATATTTGGCTTGTGACAATTGAACAGTTCTGGCATTGGCCTTATTGATTTTATTATTTTAGAGAACAATTATCGAAGACTTTCTAGATGTTCCTCACTCTTCGTTGTTTTAGAGAAACAAACAGCAACTGGTACACAAATTTAAAAAAAAGGGCAAAGAGCTACTTGAATGAATAAAGTAAAATCATTCAAACTGTTGACATGTGTTTTTTTGGTCTGGTCTCTTTCAAGGTATACAGAAGAGGCTTGCAGGCCATCCCTCTCAGTGTGGATCTGTGGCTGCATTACCTTACCTTCATCAAAGAGAACTCCGACCTGAGTGACCCAGAAACAGAGGGACGCATTCGAGCGTAAGTCAAAGACATTGATCTTACAGCATTCTTCTGTTATGTGACTTTTTTGACTGCAGAATTTACAAAAAATCTCATGATTGAATTTTACTTGAGGCATACAAAGACAAATAGTTGCATAAGATTCACAAACTTTTCTCTTACCATCAGTGCTTATGAGCATGCAGTGCTTGCTGCCGGTACAGACTTCCACTCGGACCGCCTGTGGGAGTCCTACATCACCTGGGAGACGGAGCAGGAGAAACTGGCTAATGTCACCGCCGTCTATGACAGAATCCTGGGCATCCCAACACAGCTGTATTCCCAGCACCTCCAGAGGTAGACTGAAATCTGAATAACAACTCTATTTATCTGCTTTATTGTTATACTCCAGAAACACCAGCTCTCTGTAG